CTGCCCATTTTTTGATATGATTGTCTGTTTTGTGTGTGTTGAGTTTGAGGAGTTCTTTATAGATCCTGGATATCAATCTCTTGTCTGTACTGTCATTTGCAAATATCTTCTCCCATTCCGTGGGTTGCTTGTTTGTTTTGTTGACTGTTTCCTTTGCTGCGCAGAAGCTTTTGATTTTGATGAAGTCCCAAAAGTTCATTTTCGCTTTTGTTTCCTTTGCCTTTGGAGACATATCTTGAAAGAAGTTGCTGTGGCTGATATCGAAGAGGTTACTGCCTATATTCTCCTCTAGGATTCTGATGGATTCTTGTCTCACGTTGAGGTCTTTTATCCATTTTGAGTTTATTTTTATGTACGGTGTAAGAGAATGGTCGAGTTTCATTCTTCTACATTTAGCTGTCCAGTTTTCCCAGCACCATTTATTGAAGAGACTGTCTTTTTTCCACTGTATATTTTTTCCTGTTTTGTCAAAGATTAACTGACCATAGAGTTGAGGGTCCATATCTAGGCTCTCTATTCTGTTCCACTGGTCTATGTGTCTGTTTTTATGCCAGTACCATGCTGTCTTGGTGATCACAGCTTTGTAGTAAAGCTTGAAATCAGGTAACGTGATGCCTCCAGTTTTATTTTTGTTTTTCAACATTTCCTTAGCGATTCGGGGTCTCTTCTGATTCCATACAAATTTTTGGATTATTTGCTCCAGCTCTTTGAAAAATACCAGTGGAATTTTGATCAGAATGGCATTAAAAGTATAGATTGCTCTAGGCAGTATAGACGTATGAACAGACACTTCTCCAATGAAGACATACAAATGGCTATCAGACACATGAAAAAATGTTCATCATCACTAGCCATCAGGGAGATTCAAATTAAAACCACATTGAGATACCACCTTACACCACTTAGAATGGCCCAAATTAGCAAGACAGGAAACAACATGTGTTGGAGGGGATGTGGAGAAAGGGGAACCCTCCTACACTGTTGGTGGGAATGCAAGTTGGTGCAGCTACTTTGGAGAACAGTGTGGAGAGTCCTCAAGAAATTAAAAGTAGAGCTTCCCTATGACCCTGCCATTGCACTACTGGGTATTTACCCCAAAGATACAGATGTAGTGAAAAGAAGGGCCATCTGTACCCCAATGTTTATAGCAACAATGGCCACGGTCGCCAAACTGTGGAAAGAACCAAGATGCCCTTCAACGGACGAATGGATAAGGAAGATGTGGTCCATACACACTATGGAGTATTATGCCTCCATCAGAAAGGATGAATACCCAACTTTTGTAGCAACATGGATGAGACTGGAAGAGATTATGCTGAGTGAAATAAGTCAAGCAGGGAGAGTCAATTATCATATGGTTTCACTTATTTGTGGAGCATAACAAATAGCATGGAGGACAAGGGGAAATGGAGAGGAGAAGGGAGCTGAGGGAAATTGGAAGGGGAGGTGAACCATGAGAGACTATGGACTCTGAAAAACAATCTGAGCGTTTTGAAGGGGTGGGGGGTGGGAGGTTGGGGGAACCAGGTGGTGGGTATTGGAGAGGGCACGGATTGCATGGAGCACTGGGTGTGGTGCAAAAACAATGAATACTGTTACGCTGAAAATAAATTTAAAAAATTTAAAAAAAAAGAAAATGCACTATACTTGGAAATGAACGAACACCACTGAAAGAGGGGAGTAGGTGGGGTCCTGGTCTGGCCTATCCCACCCCAGTTCCACCCCTCATACCTGCCAGTGCTATCTACTCCAGCCAACATGAATGGTTTGTACAACCAAGTCATGTTTCTCTTCTTTTTTTTTTTTTAAGATTTTTATTTATTTATTTGACAGAGATCACAAGTAGGCAGAGAGACTGTCAGAGAGAGGAGGAAGCAGGCTCCCTGCAGAGCAGAGAGCTCGATGTGGGGCTCGATCCCAGGACCCTGAGATCATGACCTGAGCCGAAGGCAGAGGCTTTAACCCACTGAGCCACCCAGGTGCCCCCCAAGTCATGTTTCTAAAGCTGCTAACCTCCCTCTTCTCAGGGCAAGGGGGGAACATTTTGTTATCCCACTGGTGTGATCATTTCGCTGTGTCTTTGTTCCTTCCATTGGCCTATAGAATGCTATAATGCACATAGAAGCCCTTATTAAATTCACCTAGCCCTTTGAATGAGAACCAACAAAGCCTGTCCTTACTGAACACTGAAACGTCTCTGACGAGAAAAGCTATCCGAAGGCTCATGAGGCTTTCTGTGTGAGAGCATCAACACAAACAAAGTAACATAATCGTGTAGATATTAGTGTGGTTAACAGTAAAATGGGACCAATGCTGTTTTTGATTTCCGTTTCTAGACATTCATTTTTACCCTGATAAGTTCTAATAAAGCTTGGGTTGAAGGATTTTAGTTTCTGAGACCCAACCAGAAACAAAGCCAATAAAGACCCACAGGTATTTTTCATTCCCTGTTGATGTTCCTTGAAACCAGGAAGTCATTTTGACTCTCAGGAGATCATCTCCTGTTAGTTCCATTTGTTTAATAGATATTTTTTCTTCTCTCAGGTGCTATAAAGAATGCCCCAATTTCCCCAGCCCCTAATGACACTTGCCTTTTTGGCCTGAGGTTTTATTTCCTCAGCTGGGTGAGAAGCCCCCTAGAGGGCAGTATTAAGACCTCGTATTCCTTGTCCAAGCCAGCACTGGCCACTATTTCTGTTCTTAGGCAGTGTTATTGTGTCAATAACTTCTCTTTGTTGTTCTGGGTGAGCAAGAGGGAGTTTGTGGACCTTAAGAGGAAGTACATACAGATGGCAGGTAGAGATTAGGCATGAAGGCTCCTGGAGATGGTCCAGAACAGGTCTTGGGAGCTGTGAAGACTGTGGAGACACACCAGCATCTCGTGACTGGGTGTGCACTGGTCACGTTAGAGATAGAGAAGGGAAGTTCAGACAAGGATCTAGATCCTTGTGTTCAGGGGAAGTTGTGCCGGGATGGGGTGTTGCCTGGGCAGGGGGCTGGAAATCTTTGGAGAGAGTGGCTTGAAGCATGAGACAACTTCTGCTTTTATGTGCTCTTTTGAATGGGGGAGAATTGATTGATCTAAGTTCTTTGAAGCATGTTTGATGGGTTTATGTAGTAGCTTAGGAATTAGATATTTAAAGGACAGTGATAATCAGAGAAACCCTGCTGCCTGATATTCTGTTTAATTTAGAAGAACATAACCCCCGTCTTAAAAGATAAACTCTTCCCTCCCCGTTGACACAACTGGAGAGAGGTTTCCATGATCCGTGTGACACACAATCCTGTCATGATGAGCACACAAAGACAGGGATTTCAGAGCTTCTAGGGAAGGATCTGAAATTTCTCCTTAGGAAAATGTGGTCTTTCGACTGGACATCATTCTTCTGACAAAGACTAACTCTAGGGCTATGAAGTCTAGGGAAGCAAAACAGTTCCTTCATTTTGTGAATGGATGTGGTTCCCATGTGGCGAACCACACATTCTGAGTATCTGTGTAGCAATCTACCTTCCTATTGGTCTGGCTGGATAGTCTAGTAGTTTTGGTTCAACAGAGCTGCGGTAGAAGTGAAACTCCCTGAGAGTCCTTGTTTCTATACAGTATGTATAGAATGAGGCTTGGCCAATCCCCATCCAGATCCTCAACCCTCCTATTGTTCCCTAAGCTGTGACTTCATCACCCTGATCACCTGGGAGGTGAGAGAGCTGGGGCAGGGAATTCTGTGTACACTCTCAGATCTCAAATGGCGGAGGTTGAACCAGGGGCCAGTTTATTCCCAAATGGTGTTCCTTGGCTCTATGCCCTGTTTGCTATGCTTTTTGTATTTTTTCTCTTTGTCATGTTCTCTCCCTTTTTACTTGAGATAGACCAACATATAAAGAAATGTAAGTACCATGGAGGGCCTTGGTGCACGGGGGAATGAAAAGTATGAGTGTGTATGGCGGGAGGAAAAGTTATACATTATAAAGCGGGGAACAAGGAAACAATGTCTGCTCTTCTCTGATCTTCAAGGTCTTAATGAACCAGGGCTAGAGGATTTAGAAATAATAATCTTGGGGCACCTGGGTGGCTCAGTGTGTTGAGTCTCTGCCTTCAGCTCAGGTCATGATCTCAGGGTCGTAGGATCGAGCCCCAGGTCCGGCTCTTTCCTCAGCGGGGAGCCTGCTTCCCCCTCTCTCTACCTGCCTCTCTGCCTACCTGTGATCTCTATTTTTCTGTCAAATAAATAAAATCTTAAAAAAAAAAGAAATAATAATCTTATATATGATGGAAGTACCCAAGGGACATAGGTCAGGACTGGTCTGGACAGCCTGTTTGTGATACATCTGTGGAGTGTGGGGAGGTATCTAGGGCCCTGCCTGAGTTGAAGTAAGGCCCAGGCATAAGGATATAGGAAAGCCTGGGGGAATCTGGGGATATGTGAGGAATTTCCAGATGACGCTCTCTGACTCACCGTGCTTCATCTTAGTCTTGCTCAGATGCAGGTATTCTCTGCATAATGCTCTGCGTAAGAATAAAGAAAATGAGATAAAGATGGACCATCTGGGAAGGCCAGGTGAGTATTGTTTGCCTTTCACCTCTGGGCTTATTATGTCCATAAACTGGGCGGTTCTAGTTACTTCAATGTCCACGTGTTAGATGGCTGGGAACTCTCCAACCTAGTCTCCATGAGGCAGCCCCCTCACATTCTGTTTAGCTCAAGAATTCTGTCTTCTCTCCAGGGAGAACATTTTTCAAGTGGCAGTTTCGTTTTGAGCCCTCACTAACATCGTAATCTAAGGTCTCCTTAGATTGAAAAGGAGGTAGAAAATTCCTCCTTAGGTGGAAAAGTTTCTCTTTTCTCATCTATACTTAATGATGTTTCTCCTTTTATCAGGGTTCTCTCTCAAATGATTCAGGGACAAAGCTACCATTTTCTCATGCCCATGAAAAAAATTAGGTGACTCTTTTCCAGGCACTTGTTATAAAGCTGTTTTTGTGATAGGGATAAGTGCATAAGGACTTTGTAGGGATAGAATCTTACCAACAGTCTGAGGAGACTGAAAGTCCATTGTTCTGGGGAACATTCTGACCACCAGGTGACCATAATCCCTGCAAATTGTGTACTTGCTTCTCCAGGCAAGGTTAGTTCTTTCCTCCTTTGTGCTGTTCTGTGACTCCTTCATGAAATTACAGAGAGATAACGCACCAGATTCTTGGTTTTTTGGTCCTTCAACTTAGACATCATTGAGTTCTTTGTGTCCACCATATCACTCCCTCAATATGAATGTTTCATGTTAAACTTTTGTTTTCTTTCTGCTATGTAAGGTGAAAGTTGTGGGCTATTTGATGAGGATTGACTTTTATAGCTCATGTAACATATCCCATTATATAGTTATTATAACAATTACATAATAATACAACTATTATATAATATTATATTACATATATTATATAATATTATATATATACTACATATATAATATTATATATGTAGTATTAGTAGTATTAGTAGTATTATATACTACATATATAATATTATATATTATATGATTATATTATATAGCTTTATGCACAGATATTTTGAGAATCAGGCCAAAGCACAAGAAAAGGTTGGTCACTGAGGAACAAATCTTTTGAGCTTAAAACATTTCTTATATACTTAAGAAACGGTAATTTCTTGTGACAAGTATTTCCCGGACAATAAGTCAAGAATCATATATATAGTCCTGTCCTGCCAGGATTTTTCTGAGTGTTTACTGATGTACAGAAAATTTTATAATCTGCATCTCTTTCATTGTTCTGCTGTCCAAAATGGCAGTTACAATCTGCTGGGTCACAGGTATAATCAAATAATTTTCCTCTTGTTCCAGGCTGTCCTTTGGAGTCACCAAGGAGAGAAGTTCTGGGAAGGAAGGAAGATGGGATGGGAAGAGATCCCTCGCTACTTGTGAGGGTAGCAAGAGAGCCCAGGGGTTCTGAGGTTGAGATCTGTACCCCTGGACCATCCGTTTGAGAGTGGCTGAGGCTCTAAGGAATCACCTGTGACATCATATCCCAGACATGAGAGGGCTTCTTAGACCCTCATTATGTATGTTTATATGAAAAAAAAGATAATAAATATTTTGAGACTCTCAGAAAAATCCTACATTACCAGGAATTTTTTTGTTGAATTTTCAGCTTCATTCAGTTGCTTAAATTCAGTCCAAATCCCAAACAAATTTCCCACTTCCAGGTGAAATGCTAGGTGAATGACTTATGCTATCTTATTCTTCTAAAGCAACAGGTAGAGTCATTCTTTCAGGGGAAGAAAAGCTCATAGTGCCTATTAGACTAAGAAACATTTAATCCAGAACCATGACTGAATCCTTCCTCTCAATTCATCTGAATACTGTCAACATGTTCTGTCCAGATTGTTTTCTTATATGAGTGCCATGCTCCTTTCATATCTTATAGTACAATATAGATGCATAGGAAGGGATTGGTGTAGATTTTCTCTTTCTACCTAAAGCATCATGGCTGCCCCAAATTGCTTTATTATCAAATGAAACTATTCTTGTCTAAGTTCCTCCACATAATTTTCTCATTCTTACCTACTTATCTGCTCTTCCTCTCTGTTCTCTCTTTTTTTAAAGATTATATTTATTTATTTGACAGACAGAGATCACAAGTAGTCAGAGAGGCAGGCAGAGAAAGGGGGAAGCAGGCTCCCCGCTGAACAGAGAGCCCGATGTGGGGCTCGATCCCAGGACTCTGGGATCATGACCTGAGCCGAAGGCAGAGGCCTTAACCCACTAAGCCACCCAGGCGCCCCAGTCTCCTCTTTTAATAATGTTGGTCATAATGGGTCATTAAAGCATTCATGTGGAACCCTCTAGTTAGAGAGGTGTATAAGGGACTGTGGAGAGAGAGAGAGAGAAGGAGGAGGAGGGAGGAGGAGGTGGAGGAAGGAGAGAGGGAGAGAGGAGTAGGGAGAAGGGAGGGAGAAGAGAAGGGAGGCAAAAGGAGGGGAGTGATATCCAAGTTGGAGACACTGGATAGGTTGTTTTGAGTTGAAAGGAATTCCTGTCGGTGGAAATGCGAAAGAGTCTGGCAGTGTCAGAACAGTTATGTGAGGGATTTCTACACTGGATAGGAAGTTAAAACTGTCTGGAAAAGTCCCTTCATTGTCTAATACTTACGATAACTTTTGATATAGAACTGTTAAATACCAATTCACTTTGATGTCGATAAAAACCATACGGGTATCTATTAAGCAGCGATTCAGTTTGGTTTTTGGGTCTGCATCTGTTTCTTAGGAGGGGGAGTCTCTTGGTATGTTCTTTTTTTCTTCACAAATGCTCCTGCGGTTTCTAGGGGCACATTCTTTTTTCCCATTTTCCGCTTTATTCTCTTTTTATATATTATTTATTAACATATTGATTCTTTTTTTAATATCCTGATTATTTAAAAAAGTTTTAAATCATTTTTCTTGCCTTCATTTCTGGGCTTATGCATGTCTTTCCTATTTCTGATTATCTCCTACTGAGTGTAATTTCTTTCACTTTCTCTTTTTTTCTATCTGCCCAACAAATTTCTTGCAGATGTTTCCTCCTTCATGTTTCACTACCTTAGAGTAAGAGAATAAAACTCCAAGGCCCTATCGCTCTGCTCCCCCAAATGTAATCCTTCCCAGGGTTAATGAGTTTAAGGAGACCCAGGGCTCTAAAATTAGACATCAAACAGAAAACCCTCTAGGTATTCAAAGCAGGAAGTGGCTTACTACAGGAAATTGTGTGCTTACAAAATCTTCAACATGAAGTTTCAAAAACCCCAGGAAACCACTGCTAAAGGTCACCCTGCTGCAAAAACCAAGACTAGCAACTTTCAGGGCAAGTGGAAAGGCCCCTACAAAACGAAATCTCCCATACGTGGGAGAACCTAGCCTGGTGGAACCCAGCCCAGATTCCACCTGTCCATTCTTGTGGGAAATGTAGTACTCAGTCTTCCAGCTCCTACTGTTCAGAGAGAGTATAACCAGAGGGCAGGAATGGCGAGGAATTGGTAGGAGGTCATGCAGCTGGGTTGCCTATCCAGGGCAAAAGAAGCTCTCTGCTTTATCTTCAGCAGAAAATGTAGTGCTTACATGACAATACTCTTCCTGATCTTTTTCTGTTCTCCACGGGGATTCTTCAGGCTGCTGGGTCAGGAGGGCTTAACAATTGCCCAAGATGACATACCACCCTTTTGATATTAGTCCCAAGGAGCAAAACCGTTGTCTTTCTCACCTTTCTAGAAGCACACCACGATTACAATAGCTTTCCATTTATTTTCCCCAAATCTTGGTTATTTAAACCTATATATCTTCATGTACACTGCACCAAGCTCTAGTCTTAATATCCTTCCCAGGAAACTATTGCTCTTCCAAAATGTTCCCTATGTGGTGATAGGCCTGAAGTATTTATTAACAGATATCCATTATCACTCAACCTCTGGGACTTAAATTGAGATTTAAGCTAGCCCAAGAGTTTTCTTCCTAAACAAAGGTTTTTTCTTGCCTCGTATTTGTATAAACAAAGAGTTTATCATGGTTCATTTCCAAAGCCATAAGGAGTAATCTCTTCTGCTAAAGATACACTGGAATGATGCTTCCAGAATGTTGTTCACTCCTCAATTACCACTCCATTGAAAAAATAATCCTAAATATCTAATTAAAAAGAGGTTCCATTGAACTATTATTACTGTCTTTCTACATAATCTTTATATACATTTAAATGTCAACAACCCCACATTTTTCTCCTTTAGTATCTTAGATCATTATGCAACATTGTATTTATTTATTTTTAGAGAAGGAGAGAGATGGGGAGGGGCAGAGGGAAAGGGAGAGAGAGAATCTTAAACCGGCTCCCTGCCAGGCTCAATCTCACAACCCTGAGATCACGACCTGAGCCAAAATCAAGAGTCGGACACCCAACCGACAGAGCCACCCAGGCTCCCCTCAAACATTGTTTTTAAATAGAAAGGCAAATATTTGTTTTTTAAATATCTAACTCATGATTATAAATGGTGATTTTCCCCCAAAATTTGTCTATAGGAGGGAACACAGACTTTATATGAAAAAGAATAAAAATATTGAAGAATTCTGCATCAGGATAAAAGGCCTTTTTGGAGGAGAAAGGGGTGCTGGAGTCACTGACTATCTTTAGGCCCAAGACACTTCTCCACCAACAGTGGTGGCCTTTTTGTCAAAAGCATTTAAAACAAAACAAAACAAAACAAAACACAGTAGATAACAATTTTTCTACTGGTTATTAGTTATAATAAGTAAAGTACAATCACTAATAGGTTGTTTTATTTCAGTTTCTAAACATGTATTTTTATGTCAATATATCTTCTAAAAATCTAGGTGAAGAAATCTTCAGTTTCTGAGAGTATTCTCAAAATAAAGCCAATGAAGCACGCAGGCATCTTATTTCTGTTTCCATCCCCTGTAATCAGGGAGCCACTCCGGCTCTCAGGAGAGCATCTCCTGTTAGTTCCATTTGTTTAATAGCTATTTTTCTTCTCTAATGTTCTATGAAGAATTCCCCAATTTTCTCAACCCATAATGATCCTTGCCTTCTCAGCCTGGGGTTTTAGTTCCTCAGCAGGGTGAGAAGCCCCCAGAGGGCAGTAATTAAGGCCCCATATTTCTTATCCAAGCCAGCACAGGACACTGTTTCTGTGTAATAAGTTAAAACTTAGAGGAGGTAGTGCTTCAGAGAAATTCCATCTGTGAACAAGGCCGCGTTCATGAAGCAGGTTCCTTGGTGCGATCCCTTGACTCTCTCCCCAGCGTTTCCAGAGCTGCTACCAAGCAGCAAGAGAACATATTTTGGTGATATTCAGAGCAACGCCTCTGCCTAATATTCTGTTCAGTTCGGAAGAAAACATAATTATCTCAGAAAATAAACAGTTCCCTCCCCTGATGTCTGTGACTGGGGAGATAACCTACAGTTGATGGGACACCCAGTCCTGACGGGAGTAAGTACACTGAGACAGGGAATTCTGGAGCTTCTAGGGAAAGATACAGATTTTCTGTTCAGGAACAGTTGATCTTTCTTCCCCCTCCAACTTAGATATCTTATTCTCTAGATAGAGCTGGTCCTAAAGCTGAAGGGTCTGAGGCCACTCCCTTAATCTACAGACATGATTCCAATGCAGGAGCACATCCATTCTGAGAGTTTGTGTATGAGTCCCCTCTCCTCCTTGCTGTGTTTAAAGAGACGAGTCTTAGAGGGGCCACTGAGGCTTTGGCAGAGTGAAGCTATCTGATTTTCCTCAGTGTTTGGTTTTTGGAAGGCTTGGCCAATCCCCACTGAGACATTCATGACTCCATTGTTTCTGAAATTGTGACTTCATCACCCTGTCACTTAGGAGGTGACAGGGCTGGGACAGAGAATCCTATATCCTTATATGCGTCTTCATGGGTGGGTTTGAATCAGGCAGCAGCTTACACGTCAACGTGGCCTTCTGGCTATACATCCTCTTTACCATGACCATTCTTTCTATCATCTTTTTCTCATTTTTCCCCTTCTTCAGTGAGGTTGATGAACCCATAAGGAAATGTAAGTCTTACGTGGGGCCTAGAAGAGGAGGGGGCATCCATTAAAATGTGAGGTGTTTGAAAATATGTTCCTTACTACTTGTTCTGGGAAAACACTTCCTCATCTCTAAGCTTTAAAATCTTTCCATGACCCTGGGCTAAGAGTTCTTAGACATTGTACTTGCGTTTATGATGGAAATACCTGGCGGACAGAGGTCAGAACTGGCTAGGAAGCCCGTTCCTGGTACACGTATGGAGCCTAAGGAAGTATTTGGGGCCCTGACTGAACTGAGGTTAATGCCCAGGTTTAGGAATAGGAAAAACCTTATAGACTCTGGGGATCTATGACAGAGTTTCCAGGTATTTGTCTCTGATCCAGGGAATTTTTTCTTAGTCTTGCTCAGATTCAGATTGTTCCTGTGTAATGCTGTGTGTAAGAATAAAGAGGACAACATTATAAAAATGGACAGTCTAGGGAGGCCAGGTGAGTATTCTTTGCCTTTAACCTCTAAGTTTTTCTGCACAAAAAGCTGGAAGCTCTGGAGAGTTCCAAAGCCCACATGCTAGATAGT